GTCAGGTCCATAAATATTGGGACATCGACACAATTCTAACATTTTGGCTCTATATACCACCACAATGGATTTGAAATGAAACGAACAAGATGTGCTTTAACTGAAGACTGTCAGCTTTAATTTGAGGGTATTTACATCCAAATCAGTGGAACGGTGTAGAATTACAACAGTTTGCATATGTGCCTCCCCACTTTTAAGGGACCAAAAGTAATGGGACAGAATAATAATCATAAATCAAACTTTCACTTTTTAATACTTGGTTGCAAATCCTTTGCAGTCAATTACAGCCTGAAGTCTGGAACGCATAGACATCACCAGACCTGGGTTTCATCCCTGGTGATGCTCTGCCAGGCCTCTACTGCAACTGTCTTCAGTTCCTGCTTGTTCTTGGGGCATTTTCCCTTCAGTTTTGTCTTCATCAAGTGAAATGCTCAATCGGATTCAGGTCAGGTGATTGACTTGGCCATTGCATAACATTCCACTTCTTTCCCTTAAAAAACTCTTTGGTTGCTTTTGCAGTCTGCTTTGGGTCATTGTCCATCTGCACTGTGAAGCGTCCAATGAGTTGTGAAGCATTTGGCTGAATATGAGCAGATATTATTACCCACTTCAGAATTCATCCGGCTGCTTTTGTCAGCAGTCACATCATCAATAAATACAAGAGAACCAGTTCCACTGGCAGCCATACATGCCCACACAGCCATGACACTACCACCACCATGCTACACTGATGAGAGGTGGTATGCTTAGGATCATGAGCAGTTCCTTTCCTTCTCCATACTCTTCTCTTCCCATCACTCTGGTACAAGTTGATGTCGGTCTCATCTGTCCATAGGATGTTGTTCCAGAACTGTGAAGGCTTTTTTACATGTTTGTTTGGCAAACTCTAATCTGGGCCTTCCTGTTTTTGAGGTTCACCAATGGTTTTCCATCTTGTGGTGAACCCTCTGTATTCACTCTGGTGAAGTCTTCTCTTGATTGTTGACTTTGACACACACATACACCTACCTCCTGGAGAGTGTTCTTGATCTGGCCAACTGTTGTGAAGGGTGTTTTCTTCACCAGGGGAAAGAATTCTTCGGTCATCCACCACAGTTGTTTTCCGTGGTCTTCCGGGTCTTTTGGTGTTGCTGAGCTCACCGGTGCGTTCCTTCTTTTTAAGAATGTTCCAAACAGTTGTTTTGGCCACCCCCGCCTAATGTTTTTTCTATCTCTCTGATGGGTTTGTGTTTTGGTTTTTTCAGCCTAATGATGGCTTGCTTCACTGATAGTGACAGGTCTTTGGATCTCATCTTGAGAGTTGACAGCAACAGATTCCAAAATGCAAATAGCACACTTGAAATGAACTCTGGACCTTTTATCTGCTCATTGTAATTGGGATAATGAGGGAATAACACACACCTGGTCATTGGAATAGCTGAGAAGCCAATTGTCCCATTACTTTTGGTCCCTTAAAAAGTGGAGGCACATATGCAAACTGTTGTAATTCCTACACCGTTCACCTGATTTGGATGTAACTACCCTCAAATTAAAGCTGACAGTCTACAGTTAAAGCACATCTTGTTCGTTTCATTTCAAATCCATTGTGGTGGTGTATAGAGCCAAAAATGTTTAGAATTGTGTCGATGTCCCAATATTTATGGACCTGACTGTATGTGCAATTCTGCACAGAGCGGCCACCCTGTAGCAGTTAAACTGCTATAGCACAGTCGGCAAGTAGTTGAATCAATAGATTAACTATCTGCCCTTTGGAGGATTCCCCCCCCCCCCCGCCCTCCCTCACCAGGCCATTTTTTGCGGTACGGCACTGCGTTACTTTAACTGACAATTGCACGGTCATGCAACACTGCACCGAAATGAAATTTGCGTCCTTTTTTCCCACGCATAGAGCTTTCTTTCAGTGCTATTTGATCGCCTGTGTGTTTTTTTTTGTTTTTGTTTTTTTTTTGGCGCTAAAAAAAAAAAACCCCCCCCCCCCCCCCCCCACCCCACCCCCCCCCCGACCAACAATTTTGAGAAAATAAATATATTTTGACTTTTTTTAAACATGTCCAGTTAAAAAAAAATAAAAATTCGTCATAAATTTAGGCCAAAATGTATTCTGTGACATCATGTCTTTTTTAAAAAAAAGAAAATCCCAATACATGTAAATGAATTGGTTTATGTGTAAGTCATAGCGTTTACAAATGGCGGTATAGATAATGGGATTTTTTTTTTTAAATTTTTTAAACTAGTAATGGCGGCGATAGCAAGCTGCTTGCTCTGGGGGCATTTGTGTGTCCTTTGCTACCAAGTCCTGCTCTGTGTGTCCATTAGACACACAGAAAGGGGCTTAGCCCCTCCCCTCCTTTGTCACTGGCTGTGATTGACAGCAGCAGGAGCCAATGGCTTCCACTGCACAGCTATCTGAGCCAATGAGGAGCGAGAGACCCAGGAAAGCCTCGGCTCTTGTGCACATCATTGGATCGAGATTGAGCTCAGGTGAGTATTTAGGGGGTGCTGCGAGGGCAGCTGTAGTAAGGTAAAAAAAAAACCTTCTGACTTAACCTAAGCACACCCCTCCTGCCTGCATGCCTGAGCCAAGGGCAGATGAAATCCAGGAAATAAATGCAACATAAACCATCTGCCCTTACTCAAGATGGCCACGGCCAGAGATGCTGGGGGGTGTTTTTCAAGTTTGGAGACATGGGATGGATGGGGTAGTTTGCTTTGAATATTACAAATGAAGTAGTGCTTTTGGTTTGTGGAGCTCCGATACGGTGAAGTTCCTCCTTAATCCAAACATAACCCGAAGTTTTAGACAACCATAATTACCGTTTTCACAGCAATGCCACCAGTGACAAGACAATCCCAAAGAAAATATTATGCAATGGCAGTTTTTGAAGGTATTGGAGAACATCAAAAGGTTAGAGAAAGCAAACCATCGTACGAAGCTTTCTACATCACAATCAAAAGATCTACTTGGTTGGGTGGCAAACATTACATGATACAGTCACCACAATGAATATTGTATTTGCTGATAGTCACCACGTGATATTGTATTTGCTGATAGTCACCACATGATATTGTATTTGCTGATAGTCACCACGTGATATTGTATTTGCTGATGGTCACCACATGATATTGTATTTGCTGATAGTCACCACGTGATATGTGTATTTGCTGATAGTCACCACGTGGTATTGCATTTGCTGATGGTCACCACGTGATATTGCAATTTTGCTGATAGTCACCACGTGATATTGTATTTGCTGATGGTCACCACGTGATATTGTATTTGCTGATGGTCACCACGTGATATTGTATTTGCTGATGGTCACCACGTGATATTGTGTTTGCTGATGGTCACCACGTGATATTGTATTTGCTGATGGTCACCACGTGATATTGTGTTTGCTGATGGTCACCACATGATATTACGTTTGATGATAGTCACCACGTAATATTGTGTTTGCTGATGGTCACCACGTGGTATTGCATTTGCTGATGGTCACCACGTGATATTGCATTTTGCTGATGGTCACCACGTGCTATTGCATTTGCTGATGGTCACCACGTGATATTGCATTTGCTGATGGTCACCCACGTGATATTGCATTTCTGCTGATGGTCACCACGTGATATTGCATTTGCTGATGGTCACCACGTGATATTGCATTTGCTGATGGTCAAGTCTCAGTTTGGACATAACGTTTTCTCTCCCTCTATTCGCTACAGAAACTGATTTTGAAGTCAACATTTATTACCGAGGAACCAAAGTTGAAAAGCACCATGGTAACCAACCGATTTGGATTCTGTCTGACTTCCAGGCAACATTCACCTACGGAAAGCTATTTGGAGGATGTATTCTGCCCCAGGCTCAAAAAAAAGTGGCTGGATCGGATATTGATTCAAGCAGTGAACCACATTCTGACCAACCTGGATAAAGGAACTTGTGTGGAAGTTCGGGATGGGGAAATCTGTGCCATTAGATTGGGCAATGTCGTAGTTTCTGGACCGTAACAGATACACCTACCTCGGCTGTGCCAGTCCAATACTCAAAAAATGACTACAGTGTCTTGTATACTCCTTCAGCAGTTTGTTACGGGTATGTATAAAGCTGGCTACACACATTAAAATGCTGATAGCAGTAGAGATCACAGTGATGGAAAGATGAGCTCATCAGTGTGCTGCTTCTCCTTTCAATGTCCAGTCACAGGTTGAGTGGAGAGGAGTTCTGTAAGTGTTAGGGAGTGGAAACAAAGAAAAATCAGGTCTTCCACCCTGCCAGAAATGCCAGGGTCTGGGGAGTACCAGATATAGATACGAATGCGGGGTTCGGGGAGACCGAATCTCTAGTGAATGCAGGGTCCGGGGAGACTGAATATAGTGAATGCAGGGTCCGGGGAGAGCGGATATAGTGAATGCAGGGTCCGGGGGAGACCAGATATAGTGAATGCAGGGTCCGGGGAGACCGGATATAGTGAATTGCAGGGTCTGGGGAGACCTGATATATAATGAATGCGGGGTCCGGGGAGACCCGATATAGTGAATGCAGGATCCGGGAGACCCGATATAGTGAAATGCAGGTCCAGGGAGAGCGTATATAATGAATGCAGGGTCCCTGGGAGACCAGATATAGTGAATGCAGGGGTCCGGGGAGACCCAATATAGTGAATGCAGGGTCCAGGGAGAGCGGATATAAGGAATGCAGGGCTCCAGGGAGAGCGGATAATAAGGAATGCAGGGTCCGGGTGAGACCAGATATAGTGAATGCGGTGTTTGGGGAGACTGGATATAGTGAATGCAGGGGTCCAGGGAGAGCAGATATAATGAATGCAGGTCCTGGTGAGACCAGATATAGTGAATGCGGTGTTTTGGGGAGACCGGATATAGTGAATGCAGGGTCCTGGGAGACCTGATATAGTGAATGCAGGGTCCGGGGAGATCGGATATAGTAAATGCAGGGTCCGGGGAGACCGGAAATAGTGAATGCAGGGTCCGGGGAGACCGGATATAGTGAATGCAAGTCCGGGGAGACCGGATATAGTAAATGCAGGGTCCCGGGAGACCGGATATAGTGAATGCAGGGTCCGGGGAGACCAGATATAGTGAATGCAGGGTCCGAGAGAGAACGGATATAGTAAATGCAGGGTCCGGGGAGACCGGATTTAGTGAATGCAGGGGTCCGGGGAAGACCGGATATAGTGAATGCAGGGTCCGGGAAGAAGGGATATAGTGAATGCAGGTGCGGGGAGAGCGGAAAATAGTGAATGGCGGGTCCCGGGGACACCAGATATAGTGAATGCAGGGTCCGGGGAGACCGGGATATAGTGAATGCAGGGTCCAGAGAGAGCGGATATAGTGAATGCAGGGGTCCGGGGAGAGCGGATATAGTGAATGCAGGGTCCGGGGGAGACCAGATATAGTGAATGCAGGGTCCGGGAAGACCAGATATAGTGAATGCAGGGTCTGGGGAGACCAGATATAGTGAATGCAGGGTCTGGGGAGACCAGATATAGTGAATGCAGGGTCCGGGGAGACCAGATATAGTGAATGCAAGGTCTGGGGAGACCATGATATAGTGAATGCAGGGTCCGGGAGAGTAAATATAGTGGTTTAAGAGTGGTAATAAATGAGATATATTTTTATAGAATATTTTGACATTTACAATTTAAATATTTAAAACAGTTGTATGTATTGTCTAATATTTATATACAAACTTTTTTTTTCAAAAAAAACTTACGACATGGCTTGTGCAGCAATTGTATATATGTACAGCATCTCCCAGAAGCGAGTCCCCCCCCCACATTTTTGTAAATATTTGATTCTCTTTTCATGTGACAACATTGAAGAAATGACACTTGCTACAATGTGACGTAGTCAGTGTACAGCTTGTATAACAGTGTAAAAAAAAAATGAATTGTATGCCACCCCCTGAATTTATTCCTCTTGGTACAAATCCCCCAATCCTCCCTCCTAAAAATCACACAAAGACACTCATCCCCAGCACAAATGTTTGTTATTCTTCAACTGCTGTCACTACTCCCTCCACCTTCTAGGTAGGATTTCTCCACCCAGCGTCACATGATACCACTGCTCCCAGGGCAGGCCCCCTCCTGCCCACACCCTTGTCCCAGACATAGGCTAGGTTCACACCTATGCAGGTTGTGTTTGAGCCATTTCTGCAGTGCGTTTTGCGTTGCATTTTTGAGCAACATGTTTTTTTTTCTTTTTCTCATTTTTCTTGTGGTTAGGCAGAATTAAAACACAAAATGGCAGCAAAAACATGCTTTTCTGTAGTGTTTCCATTGAAGTCTATAGAACCAAACACACAACTTTTTGGCATTCAAATAAGTCCCTGACCCTTTCCAAAAAAAAAAACGCACCGGGTGAAAATGCACAGGTGTGAACATGTCCCATAGGAAATCATGTTAAATGGACTGTACTGCATTTCTGCAAAACGCGGCAGAAAACGCCTAGGTGTGTGAACCTAGGGTAAAGGATTTTTGGAAACATCTGGCCCACATAAATGTTCAATATACTCAGTTAGTAACTGGCCCCTAGATGGAGCACCTTCAGCGAGAGTAGCTTGAGAAGTCACCAACTGTTCCATCCGTTTAAATGCTCCTTTTATTTCCGTGTAGAATTAATGGAATTCGTTGAACGGAGGAGAAAGAGAGTCCCACAGTATTCCTTATGGATCCTGTCTTGGAGAAAAAACATGGCCAGGCGGCAAACCATGGCAAACATGGAAAAATGCATTATGTTGAAGTGAGTAACGTATTGTACAAATGGAACTGTAACATACACTGCAAGGACAACCAAGGACAATCGAGGAAATCAGTGGGTTGGACTCAAATTTGGTGCTGTTACATAGTTAGTCTGGCTGAAAAAAAGTCCATCCAGTTCAACCATAGAAAAAAAAAGTTTATAATCCTATACCCACAGTTTGTATCCAGAGGAAGGCAAAAAAAAAAACCCCAGCAAAGCAGTTCTTTTACTTTTGCTTAGGGACAGATGACCTGCCTGGATGCAGACAGATTGGGGGTTATTTACTAAAAAAAACTGCATGGTGCATAATCTTCTATGGCAGCACAGTGACTAATTGGTTAGCACGTCCGCCTGGCAGTACTCGGGTCGTTGGTTCTAATCCCAACCATGGCACCACCTGCCTGGAGTTTGCATGTTCTTCCTGTGCCTGCGTGGCTTTCCTCTGGGTACTCCCGGTTCCCTCCCACAACTCCAAAGACATGCTGCTAGGTGAATTGGCTTCCTGTCTAAATTGTCCCTAGTATGTGTATGTATGAATGTGAGTTAGGGACCTTAGATTGTACACCCCTTGAGGGTTAGGGAAGGGACTGATGTGAATGTACAATATATATGTAAAGCGCGTCGTAAATAAATCTGGTGCAGCTCTGCATAGAAACCAATCGGCTTCCAGCTTTTTATTGTTAACGCTTAAGCCCTCATGCACACGGGACGTTTTGACAACGCTGGTAACGTTAGCACATCCGTCGTGCAGTAAATGGGTCATGAGTTCAATTCCCAAACATGGCGCCTCCTGCATGGAGTTTGCATGTTCTCCCTGTGCTTGCATGGGTTTCCTCCGGGTACTCCGGTTTCCTCCCACGCTCCAAAGACATGCTGGTAGGTTAATTGGCTCCTGTCTAAAATTGTCCCTGGCCATGCGGGATCTCCTGCATGGTAGCATATTGGTTCATGCTTTCCAGAGGTTTTTTTGCCTTCCTCTGGATCAACTGTGGATATAGGATGGTGTAATATGGAGGTTTATGATTTGTATTTTTTTTTTCTCATAGGATGATAACTTTTTCCACCAGATAAAACTAATAAATCGTATAACTCCTGAAGGTCAGAATATTAGCAGCAGCCATCTAGTTCAGCCGCTTTCTGAACTAAATGTTTGGCACAGAGGAACCCTTGAAATAACTTTCTGGTCTCAGGGAACCCCTGCTAATATTATATATACACTATTAGTGTGATGGTCAGTGGGAAGAATTGCTCCTTGCAAGAAAAAGTATGTGAACCCCTTTGGGATTATGTGGAGTTTTGCATGAATTGGGCATAAAATGTGCTCTGAACGTCATCTAAGTCACAACAACAGAAGAACACAGTCTGCTGAACATAATACTACACAAACATTAGATGTTGCCATGGTTTAATTGCACATAACATGTAAACATTCACAATGCAGGGAGGAAAAAAGTATGTGAGGCCCTAGCTCAATGACTTCTCCCAGAGCTAATTGGAGCCAGGAGTGAGCCAACCTTGACTCCAATCAGTGTGATGATATTGGATGTGTTGCTGACAGCTGTCCTGCCCTTAAAAAACACACACACCTGCGAGGCAAAACTCCACGTAATCCCAAGGGGTTCACATACTTTTTCTTGCAACTGTAGCTAAAAAGAATTAATGGTGGGAAGTTATCTGAGAGGCAGGAATTACTCAAGGAATACCCTAGCAACCTCTGGAGGAACCCAAGGATTTCATGGAACCATGGCTGAGGAACTCTGGTCTAGGTTTTCCATACAGTAGCATTTCTAAATGTAGAAAAAACACAACACAGATTAATTCCTGATGGTTCCCCATACTCCTATGTCCATCAGTAATGTGTTTTTTCCTGTTTGGTAACTTTTTTTTTTTCATCTGGGTGTAGATCATACCGGTGGTCATGCGTTTGCTTCATGAGTTAAGTTATAGGACTGGAGCCTCATCACTGACCAGCAGTGATTTGAACTTTGAAATCTCCGACTCATTATCCAGCCAAAGTTCTGTCCTTTCACTTCTGAGGACCATTGAAGGAAATGATGGACTGGTCACAAAATTAGTTTGGTTTTATAATTGTAGAAAATACAGGCCCATCACTGCAAGGGAAAAATTGTGATGGTCATTAGACACGTGCGATTCATTTCCTTACGAATCAAAAATTTGGATGTATCCAAATCTTAGTCGTAATGCATTTTTTTTAACTAATCCAAAATAAATTATAACAAAGACCTCAAATTAATTTATTATTCATTCGTTTGCAACTACAAAGGGTTTTGTAAGGATCTATAATATTGTCACACTCTGTATTTTTATGATTGGTCAAGTGATTGGAAAGTCAAGAAAAACATCAAAGTCCAAGCAAGTTGCATCGAAATCGCAAGCAAGTCTCATGAACTCGCAAGCAAGAAATAACATGACATAACGAATGAATCAGTCTTCTGAAATAACAAACAATGAATCCGAATATCTAAAATGAATTCCAAAAATGAATCATTCTAACATAATGAATATGACAAAACAAAATGATTGACTTAACGAATGAATCTAAAATTAAACAAATTTTTTCGTTTCGTTGTGCGCATCTCTAACAGTAATTTCATGGCACCCTGATGTAGCATATGGACTAGACCAGGAAAAACGCGGCCTAATTATTATAATAGTTACAGGCAGGGGCAGACTGACCATTTGGAAACTCGGGCACTGCCCGAGGGCCCGGGGGTCAGTAGGGGGGCCCATGAGATGCCCCTGGTACCTTTTTCATAGGCTTTTTTGAGTTTGGGCAAGGACACAGGGGCCCCATGATCCCCTATTGCCCGGGGGCCCCATGAGTTGCCAGTCCGCCACTGGTTACAGGCATACCTCGGTTTACAAACACCTTGGTTAACGTAATTTTCGGTTTACAAATGAAAATCTATTGAAAATGATGCCTCGGTTTACAAATTTTTTTTCGGAATACGAAATAAGTTTCCCCAGGATGCACTGCGCCTGGAGATTTATAGAGCCGGCCCCGCGCCTTTAACCACTTCCCGACTGGCCATTGCATATAAACGGCCTCCCCCCGCACCCTGCTTGTGCGCGCTCCCCTGGGAGCGCGCAGGAGTACCGCGATCCGGTGCCCGCTGTGTCCTCCCGGACACAGTGAAACACCGATCGTCGGACGGGACCTCTGTACGAGGTCCCGATCATGTGATCACTGATTGGCCAATCAGTGATCACATGCAAAGTAGTAAGCAAGATGTTCACTTCTGACATCATTGCTGACTACGTGTGAAATCTGTGAATGATCACACATGGTACAAGGCTATTCACAACAGTGACCAATCACAGAGGTCACATGTTATGTGGCTATTCACAACAGCCTTGTACCATGTGACAAGCTGTGACCAATCACAGCTCACTCAGTATTTCTCAATGAGGCAGAATGCAGCCAGAGAGAAAGAGAAATGATTGCTTTTACATCCTATAGGGGTGTAAAAGCAATCAGTGTAAAAAAAAAAATCTTCATCACCCCCCACAAGTAGTTACAGTGTCACCATGGTGACACTGTAGTGCTAGGGTGGACAGTATGTAAAAAATAAAATAAAAAATAATAAAATAAAATGTTAAACAAATGTTTAAAAATTATAATTTTTGGTTATAAACTAATTTGGATTTTTTTTTTTTTACTAAAACGATAACAGAATAAATTTTGGCCACGATTTATGATGAAATATTATTTATTTGTAAAATTTTATAAAAAAAACACTTTTTTTCAAAATTTTTGGACATTTTCATTTACATAGCAAAAAAAATAAAAATCCCATGCGCGTGAAT